AAAAAAGTTAAAATGTCTGTGGTCAGCTTCATAATTTCTCTAGTGTTCTATGAACATATACCTAGTAAATAAGATTTATGTAACACTTATTATATATGTATGCCCAGACATACTTACTTAAATCCTTTATTACACCTACTTTTTGTCCTCTACTTAAAACATCTGACAAATATCTTTTTTACTAGACTTAATATGGACTTAGTTGTTAAGGTATCTGATGTAGATGTGACTTTTTCTGAAATTTTTCCTTTATCAGTACATGGCATCTTTTTCTCATCTAACATTAACTTTGTCTTTATTTTAATATTTGTCCTCATGTATGTGATTTGTTCTTTTTAAAATGAAAATGTTCAATACGTAAGAGACTGGTGGTTGTCGTGGTGGTAGTGTATCATCGAGTCAAAGCCAAACCCTAGCTGACCCACTGGCCTGTCCTTACCCGCAGAGCAGGTGGCCTCAATCCACTTGCCTTCAGTTTTCAGCCCAGCTTCTTGCTACAAGGCCAGCAGAGTGCTCTACATAAGAGACTAGTACTGTGAAATGCATATTCATCTATAACAATTATCTAAACTGGCTTTGATTGCCTGACTTTTTTCCTCCCATTTTGAATCCCAGTTTTGAGAGAATGTTATTTCATGTTGTTGTTATTAGGTGCCATAGAGTTGAGTATGACCCATAGTGACCCTGTGAACAACAGTCTGAACCCTGGCCTATCCTGTGCCATCTTCATCATCCCTGACACACACTTGGGTCCATTGCAGGGGTCATGTGTCAGTCCAGTTGAGGGGCTTCCTCTCTTTCACCAATCCTCCACCTTCCGAAGTGTGATGTCCCTGTCTAATAAGTAGCCTTTCCTAGCAACATACCCAAAATATGTGAGATGAAGCTTCATCATCTTTGTCTCCCAGGAGCAGTACAGCTCATAGACTTTCCAATACGAAGAACATTAAATTTTAGCATTTTTTAAATTTTATTCTGTGAGTGATGAGGTTGGGAATCTAATAGATGGAAGAAAAACCAGTATTTCAGTGTGATTTTGCTTCTAATTTTCCTTAGTATTTTCCTGTAAGCAAGGCTTAGCATCCAATGTTATCAAATCCATTTGCTTTTCCATAGTTTGTTCTTTTCTCTAGCTTGATCACATTTCACCCAAGAACCCCCTACACCCCTCACTTTCTAAAAGCTCTTTAAATTGTCATCTCATCAATTTCTTTTTGTTTCCGACAGAAGTTTTTTGGTTTTGTTTAATATAATCAAATTTTCTTCCTTTTTTTTCTTAAGTTTTCTGGATTTTTAGTCAATTTATAAAGAAAATCAGTCTTGTTTTTTAAATTACTTGAATCTTTTTCTTTTCACTTTGAGGCTTCTAATCCATTTGAAATTTTTCCCAGTGTTCAGTGGGAGAAATTAAACTAGCTCTAAAAGAGCTAATTTGTGGTGTTTCTGCTTAACTGTTGTTATTCTTGCTTGATTAGTGCTGTCCAGGTAAACTTTAGAATTAATTTATCTGGATCTAAAAATTTTATCATATTTAAAATAAAACATTTTAAAATAAATAAACAGAGGATTGTTGTTTTGTTGTTGCTATGAGCTGTCTAGTCGCTTGCAACTCATAGCGACCCTATGTACAACAGCCCTAAACTCTGCTCTGTCCTGTGCCATTCGCACTGTCTCTGACACTCCCATCCCAATTATCCCAGTCCCTGAATCAATCCACCTCAAAGAGGGCCTTCCTCTCCTGCGCTGTCCCTCCACCCTCCCAAGCATGATGTCCCTCT